TCGAGGAGTTGGACCTCACGGAAGTGCACATTGTAGATGTGGGCATAGACCCGGAAGAGGCGTTTCAGGATGGCCTTTGCCACCTTTAGGAAGTTTGGAGGGAAGGGGACACCTAAAAGTAGGTCACCAAGTAAGGCAAGTGAGGCGATGCATCACTGAAAATAGAATAGTATATTCCTTCTTCTTCAGGGAAAATCAACTTTTCAATCTTCTGTGCGGTTTGCCTAAGCACCTATTACGTTATAGTGCCCAACGCAGGAAGGTGATTACAGAAAGCGCCGAATAGGGGTACAAATCCCTCCGACTTCTCGCTCATGACTTCCTTTAAAAGGTCACCAGTCCTATCTTATTTCTTTGGTAAGTTTCTATCTAAAATCATGCCTTATAAAATCTTAAGGGACGACTTGGGGTGGTACACTTGAAATTTTCCGAGATTTTAGAAATGAAAGGCTTCAATATGGCATCGTGGATAAGCCTGGATTAGGAATTGTGAAGATGCACGCTGGTACGACCGGATACGGGCTGCACTACCGCCAGTCAACAACGGGTAGGACATCAAAGACGAAAGGCAGAGGGCCAGAATTGCTACAGCAAACCGGTTAGATAAGAAAGTACTGGAATTTCTACTTCCAAATAAAGTACATTCAATATTCATCCAAACACGGTGAGAAAGTCAGCTTAAGGAGAGAGCGGGAGATAGAGGGAAGATAAACTTTAGCAAATTTGCAGAATGCCTGCATCTACTTTGCCTCTGTCAAAATACCATGGTGAATTTTGTTAGAACGTCAACGAAATCACATTAACCAGATGTCACATATTTATGTCGACTAAAAAACGTAATTCAAATAGATGAAGTTGAATGTAATTAGATAATAAAAAAGGAAAAAGGAGGAAAATTTTTAGTCTAAGATATTTAACTTGCTGGTAATCGCTTAGAAAACTGCAATTTTTCAAAGTTTTTTCGCCATCTCTCATGATCGCGATGGCTGTAGCCAACTTGATTGCTTGTCACCAAGGTGGAGGTCACTTTTAACTTCTCAAAGGCTCTTAGCTGCAGGCGAAAAAAATTTTGCCCCCATACAGGTATGAAGTTTGGTTTCCTCCACTCTAAGATCTCAATTTTCATACGAGGTTAGCGGTCGACTTCATCTTAGGGTAATGGGTGTCACCTCCAAACTCGTGTAAGGACAACCAACTCGCCTGAAAGAATTTGTCACGTGACAGGATTGCACGCAGATTAACTCTTCAGTTCTCAAGAAAAAGGGAGTAAAAGAAGGAGATACTTTACAACATCCTCTCTTTTCCCCTATTCAATATTGGATAATATTGTGGGGAAGTGACATTCGTTGTGACTTGACACTCACTACCTACTGAAATGGAAAGCAGCACTCCCCGCCTCCCTCTCTCTCTGTGAAGGGTTAAAGTTGAGAAATAGCAAAATGTACTTTTGAATGTTTCAACTCCAAACAGAGCTCAAATAGTACAGTCTTTCGTCTCTAAAAATATCACATGCACACACACGAAGCTAAAGCATTACCGTTCAACTTACTTCAACTACCAGATCTTGGGTGAGGTTGTCAAGCCCTTAATTGAAAGATCTGCCTGGCATACTCCTTCTCATATAGAGTCGCACGACCTACCCAAGTGTGAATGTCACCTCCTCAGCTCGCCTTATTCAAGTTTCTCAAAATGCAGTTTCAAGGATGTACACAATACCCGCGACTGGTTTGGGTCTGCCAGTAGGGAAGCTATAGCCGGAGTGAATAAACGCCACCCACACCTTCCAAGGGAATGACGTGGACTTTCTAGAAAACCAGTCAGATGAGACCATCGAAGAACGCATCGCAAATTCCATATGCATTAAGATAGTTCAAATTTCACTGGAACAAAGAGGAACAGCCTTCAACGGAGCATAATGCACGACTTCAAAAAAAATCGAGCAACGTATTTTACAAGGACTAATCAAATGTATGTGCTCTTTGACATCCATCATAAGACACGGATATGTCGGTTCAAATTAACAGATGTGATCCAACGCTGCCTACTCTAAAAACCGTGTTAAACGCGGTTCCCAATCCGTAAGCACCACCCAGAAAGGGTTTAACCGAGAAATGCGATTTTGGTAACGAGTCTTTCAGGGATAAATGAAGCTTCAGCGACACATTAAGAGCAGCCTGCATTTTGGTGAGGCAATAATGATGCAATGATTATCAGAGTGAGAGAGAGGATTGCACAACGCAACGGACTGAATGAGACATTAAAAGAAACCAGAACAGAAGGAGCCTAAAGTAAGTCTATGATTCACCCATGATTCATAAAAAGGCGCCTCAGCAAAAAACAAAAGGACCTAAGGAGTGAATGGCAAGCGTGCGAAATTCACTTTAGGTAGGCACAGGAAAATGTAGGCTTTTCTAGAATTTCGTGAAACGTTGGATTGGT